TTTAGTTTTTAATTTTGATAATCTTTTGAACAAATCAAGCCATTTATATTCAGAAAAATTGAAAATATATTTCTTGATAAAGTCACTCTAATTCATAATCAAAAGTAAGCTGATTTTGTGCTTCTTTGTTCAGAGTTGTTTTCTATCATCATCTGTGCATATTCTAGCCAGACTTATTCTTATTCTTTGCTTTTTGATCTCCTCTTGATACCAAAAGATCAGATTGTATGTGGTTCTGTTCTGCACTGTTGTTTTCCACAACTTGAAGTTGATGGAAACAATTTGTATTAAATTTTGTTAGGACTCATTTCTAATTTTTGAAAAAAGGAAAAGCGATTAAATACATTAGCATTGAAGTCTAAGGGAAAATGAGACTCAACTTAGGGACATTCTGACACCACGACACTCTTGATACACCAATTATGTCCGCATCTTGGGGTCTCACTGGAGTTGAACTATGTGAACTACCATAATTACTTAAGTACCATCACGCGCCCTTGATGAGTACAAAACGCGCACCAAGAGTTTTCAGTTGAAAATTTTGACAAAAATTTATCCCCAAGTAAGACGCTCACCCATTACTTTTATTTTAAAACTGTACTATTTCAAAGATTAGAGCACCCAAATTTGAATTTTCAATTTTTTCCATCAAAATATTTTTTTCTGTAGAACTTGGCCCAAAAATTCCTACAATAATCAAGTATGAAGCACACGCGAACTTCTAAAAAATTTTGAACAATAATTTACACCTTTTTCCGATTTTCTGCCTTTTTCCGATTTTCTGCCTTTTTCCGATTTGAGAGGTTCGACTGTACCTTATAATATTATAAGTATTAATTATTGTAAGTTTAATATACCGCAGAAGTAGCACAAATATTACTGAAGCCCTGTTCTGATCATTCCACTCGAACGTTCCCAAAAAAGTTGAAACCCTCTTCCTCACCCAAGAGCCACGGGTCCCAGATTCGCAAAGCTGAGAAACAGTAGCAGACTTGACGCTGACACGAACTGCCACCCATGAAATTGCCCCACGTGCTGAACCATCAGTAACACGATCCCGGTGACAAACAAAAACAATGTCGCCAGGGAAGTAGTGACCAAAAAGACTCGTTTCCGTCTCGCTGCTGTCAACAAGATCCCGGCGATGACGAATAGCAGGATAACCTGGGCCCCGAGGAATCCAGCAAGCAACAGGATCGGAGATACGGACAACCCGAGGGTAATACTGAATGTTTCGGGCAATTTTTCGAGTATGTCGAGGAAACCGCTGATGCTGTGAGTGCAGAGCAACACGGTCGCCAAGCAGATTTGCAAAAGTTTCGTGTGCGATGTTGCGGGCTCTGATCTCTGATGGCGTCCCGTGGGATCTGTCACAAGGTATGAAGCCAAATACTTCACCTACACCGGAAAAAGTGAAATAAAAAAGATGCAAAAAACTTGGTCCGATCCAATCTGATGAAGAGCCTTCCTTCTGAGACCGTTAGTGCTGCGAACTTGTTTACTTGCCGAATTAGTTCCGGACTCCCACTAGCCAAGTTGAGAGCAAAAATTACACAGACGAAAATATACTGAACACTACTACTATAGGGGATTTTTGGAAGTTGCCATAAGCCATGTTCTCAATATACTTCCAAAAATTCATTTTACACTTTCCGAGCATTTTACGCAATTTTTAAACATACATTTCATTCAAAGTTAAAAAAAAGTTACATAACGTGGTTTCGAGTATCCACATAGATTGCTCAAGGATAACCTCTAGGATAATTCCGTGCAAGCACAAACTGAAAAACAGAATGAAAGATATTATTTTTTATTGACAAATTAGAAATCTTCGGACTTAGGAACTGAAAGAATCGTCCGAAGAAATTGCCTCAAGTGACCGAAATTGCTTTCTCTGTAACGAAGCCTCCGTTTTTTTTTGCTAAATATTTTGAAACATCAAAGAAATGCTCTAATGCTTTGTCAGCTTTAATTTCTCTGATATGTCAAATGAAAAATACGACCTCTAATTGTTTGTCTCACTCTTCGTGCTCTTGGCGAAAATCATCAAGAGCCGGAACTTTTTTCTGCGTTATTTCGGAATAAGATTCGATGGCTTACCTCAGCTTGACGATCGTAATGCATTCCGCGGATTCTGGACAATGCCTTTGCTGCAATTTCCTTTTTACCATTATTTGTCGCAAAAGTGTGTTCGTGGATACTGTTCTCATGGTTGGTCTCAAATTATTCCGAAGTTTTCCTGTGATTGACTCACGCATCCGTCCTGAAATCTAGTCAACAAGTGATGTTCTGAAAATATGAATGTGCTCTGAAAAAAATGATTGGAAGTTTTTTCAATTTTTTCACGAATTCCAGGGTCGTCAGGCAAGATCAAAAGTTCTCCGTGTATGAATTTCTCGTTGAATTTCAAGGTTCAAATTCGTAGTGCAAATTAAAAACAAAATCAGTTTAAAAAAACGTTTTCTCATGTACATCATTAATTTAATGTTTACCTTGTTTTTAGCAAAACTCAATCATGGGAGTACATTTTCTTCTTTTGGACGTGATTGTATCGCCGATTTGGTTATCCACATCAGAAGTAATCAGGCTCACGTTGGAATTTAGCTCGACTAATTAATTTCATTCACTTACTTTCGTCTCGAGAGTAAGCATTTCGTAAGAATATCTTAACGTCATTAAAGGATATTAAACACAAATAATTTCAAATTTTCGGCAAATATTGCTTCGAGTATACGTGCCTCGAACTGTCCATTACCAAACGAGTTTTTTTTTTTTTACAAGAATGAGGTACACATTTTTTCATGAGGCGAAATTTTAAACACTCGATTCATGGTCCACTGGTGGTACAGGTACTAAAGATGCCCAGCACTTCATGCAAAGTTTGCTTCCGGTGTTTCAAAGGCCCCATTCACTAAATGGGTGAAAAACACTCGCTTAAAAATCATCCTTCAGTTTGAAGAAATTTCCTTATCAACGTGGAATACTTCTGTACGTCTTTGTATTCACTTTAAAAAAAAGAGCTGAAAAAGATTTCAGCATGAAGCGTCTGACATATAACTCAGATCAGTGCGATGAAAAGACACACCAGCATCACAGGAAGGATGAGAGGTCTCAGAAACTGGGTTCTAGTATACAGAACAGTACATTATATAGCACGTCGGAAATGAATCTTTATCTGAACTCGGCTCGACGGAAGGAGAGCAAGTCGAAGCCTAGCTGTTCGTATTGATTCGCAGGATCAGAATAGAAACGTCCCCCCCCCCCCCGCCCCAAAAAGCAGCAGGACTTGATTCCCCGAGTCGATCACAACCCGGGATTTCGGGTTGCGCTGCTGCTGGCCCAGCCGAACCGGGACATGATTTCCGGCTCGGTTTTGCCACCGGTTTCCGGCAAGTAGCGTATGAGGAAAGCCAGACAGGCGAGCAAACATCCTCCATAGACCAGACAGCTTATCGGAAACTCCATCCGTCTATCAGTGGTGTCAGAAACATAGGCGATCAAGCCTGCAGTGGCCCACCTGGCTGCGTGAGGCATCGACCCCCCGACACGCTTTGCCCCAGTCGAGAGAACTTCCACCGACATCGTCCACCTGGAAAATCGGTCGAAGATGCAATATTTCCATCGTCATGACGCATTTTTCCTCAGTGCTGCAGGCTCAAGTAGGATATCAGCAGGAATTACAGTGAGGCCCCCGATATATGCGGAAACCCCAATATTTGGACAATTCGACTTGAAACCAGAAAAATCAGGCCCGACATCTGGACATTGGCTCGAGTTAGGGACACTTTCCTGAAATTTTCTAAAAAATCGAAACAATTTAGTTTTTAATTTTGATAATCTTTTGAACAAATCAAGCCATTTATATTCAGAAAAATTGAAAATATATTTCTTGATAAAGTCACTCTAATTCATAATCAAAAGTAAGCTGATTTTGTGCTTCTTTGTTCAGAGTTGTTTTCTATCATCATCTGTGCATATTCTAGCCAGACTTATTCTTATTCTTTGCTTTTTGATCTCCTCTTGATACCAAAAGATCAGATTGTATGTGGTTCTGTTCTGCACTGTTGTTTTCCACAACTTGAAGTTGATGGAAACAATTTGTATTAA